TGGAATATCGAGTGATGGCTTAAAATAAATAAATTAGTTTTTCCCCTTTTTTATGTCGTATTTCACATTTGAAGTTATTTTCGAAAACGTTTTTTCATTTTATTAAGTCATATCTTGAAGACTAATGCATATTCCATACTATTTTAATACCAATAAAACAATACTACATCATCAACATAAATTATAAATGTATAAGTATAATTGTTATTACTTGTTTCACATCTTGCACCATAATATCCAGTTCCAGCGCATCTACATTTATATCCGGGTTCTTGCGAAGTTTGAACGCACACTCCGTTATGATTACACGGACCTTGTGCGCAGAAATCAAATCGGCGACCTGTATAAATATGAAAAAATGGTATAAGACGGATACATCGATTATACTTGACTCTATTAAATCCATTTGTAGATAAATATTTAATATAGAAGCGATTTTTTAAGGGTATTCAGTGGCGCCGAAGTGTTTAAAATATACTATGACATCGCACATCAAGGGTCCCCCATCATCCCTCCTATTTTTATCAGATGTAAATCAAAGCGTCTAAAAATAAGTAATGTACCTTTAACCGTATATTTTTATGTTTAAACATATATTCTGTCTGCAATCCACGGCAGTATCTCATGATGCCTTCCCCCCAAAATCTAAAAAATCTACTATGACATATGTCATATATAAATAGGGTGATCGGCGCTGCTAACAGTATTTATTTGATTTTTTAAATTATTATCCATACATATAATTGGCTAAATAAGTGATTACTAAAATTTAAATTTATGAAAAAAGGGAAAATTATGTTTAAAAAAAATGTGCCAATAATAGTTTTTTTTTTTTTTAATAGTGACTGATGTGTGTGTCTTCCGGATCACCTGGAATAGAACCATATCGTAATTTATCATAATATATTATTATAATATATTTTTTTTTTTATGATAATATGTCATGATGTTCAAATATTAGAAATCATAAAACCTTTTAACGCTTTGTAGCATTCCTCGTAGTTGCTGTATCTGTACTCGGAATAGCAACCCTTGCCGCAGAGACATTGGCCTTCTTGTATTCGACACCCCTGTCTACTCTGATCGCAACCTTCGAACACGGGTATAACTGAAATCAAAGACATTTTGTATTAATTATATACCTACTTACATATAACTCTGTAGCGCAACTAGAAGTTATCATTTTGTAGGGTGCAGTTGAGTAGTGTAGGTAGGTACATTACAGATTTGTTACAAGAAGTATAAAAAAAAATCAGTCACTATTATATTTCATGATATATAATTGAATCATGATTATAATTCTTACATATATTTACTATTTTTTACTTTTATCTATCATACCTATTAAAATTATCAGAGTTCACTAAGTAATCTCAGATAAAAAAAACTGAAATAGGTATAGGTAGGTACTAGAATCTATCACGATTAGGTCGATTCGTAGGYATGTCTATTGATTAAAAAATGCACGATCTAAAGTTTAGAACCTTATATTTATAATTTATGCCATGTTCCAGATAATTTTTATACCAAAACGATAAATTTTAAACAAGAAAACAGAAAATAATTTATAGGTTCTGAGTGGTAGGAGTGGTTGATATTTCACCTATTTTCATAGGCCACAATAAGGTAGGCTTAGCCCCCCTCTCCTAAAAAAACTTTTCATACATACATCGCATTATATAAGGGTCAATAAAGTGTCCAATATAAACCTTAGCTTCAGCTTCCCCTCCCCAAATCTCAAACACTATTTGTGCCTATGCCTACTTTACATTCCGTTATTGTTACGTCTCCACTGACATAAATATATAATACTACAATTTCACCGTGGTCTGGTGTAGACCGAAGCTAGTATTGGATTACATATATATATTTTTTTTTATAATAATGATAAGGCTTCAAAATCTTAGGTTATTAGCCTACAATTTTAACAATATGAACAAATATTTACAATTTATGGGCTATAGGTGAATATAATAGAAAAATTTACAAGGGKTGCAACCGCATATCCTGCCAGCCCCCAAATGACGCCCCTGTAATCACGTCGATTCGTACAGCCATTAATAACGGTATACGTATAATGTAATGATTGTGTCAGTATTAGTGGGTCTAACTCAAATAAGTACTCGATTTTGAAAATCAACTTCACCAACTTGCCCTTAGCTGGCCCATAGAATGTATCCAACTAGCTCTGATCTACTCTATATTGTATACACGCGGGCTATGATGAGATTTATATTATTTTACAGATCTATACCTAATAATTATTATTGTGTGATTATTATCCGTGGAATCGATTTTTTTTTTTATGAATAAAATCCAAAAAGCGAATAGGTAATTGAAAAGTTTCAATGAAAATATATTTTCGATAGGTACATATAATAGTGCCTTTTGCTGCCGTTACCAGTAATGTTAGGTGCGACGTAACTATATGTATTATATGGGGTTGAAGTTTTCAAATGTCRATTGCTGCAGTTGTATAGGTATTTACAAAAATTTTTAAGAATAAGAGGGTGCCGTCGACTACACGTGAGACTTAATAGAGAAATAGCAGATGTACCATTTTATTTTACATCCTACAATGTTCCATAATGTCTCTGAAAACCATATTTGAAGGAAACGAATACACTATATAGCTTCAGACCTTCTACACGTGTCATCTACACAGTATTATATTATTATTTATCCTGCGCAGCTGTTTTGGGTGATTTAATTTTCCCATGCACCGTCGTTGCTACGGTTCAGTTGTAAATTGGATCGACTGCAACTGTGCTGCACGTGAGATGGGCAACGATGTGCAGACAGTTTGCGAATTATATAATTTACTTAATATTATGTATAGTGCCGTTTACATTTAACCAATATTACAGGCAGTGTTTCATCTAAGTCTCCTGGGGCTTAGGCTTGGTACTTCGAGAGAAGTGATGTTCACGCTATACCCTTCCACATATATGTTACGTTTTAAAGGGCGTGCAGTAAACATATGGTGTCTCCTATATTATGCCCTGTAAAGATAATGAAAAAATTGCTTGCTTTATTATATATATCTTCTAATCATATAACTATGTAGACCCCCCTTCACATCAGTACCTATGTCTCCGGTAAATCTGGAACTGTTGAACTGATTATACCTATATAGGATCAGGATACCACTTAACAATTCGAGAAATTCGTATCTCGAGTTTACGAAAACACTGCAGCTATATAACGTATATATACTGACCACACGTAACCTAAMCTAACCACGGCTGAGTATATTACATTAAAACGCATTCGATCATCAAAAATATAATTTATATAATTATAATATTATTATTAATAGGTATGAAAACAACGTCATGGAAGATCTGTCCCTCACCACTCACCTCATTAGTATGCTCATCATTGCTATGAATATTATATTTGAAAGAGAGAGAAATGAAATCGTAAGAAAAAAACATTTAAAGAGATAATCGGGATGGCGATGGTCGTGATTGAAAAGTATGCAGTGAATCGTTTTCAATTTCGACTTAATGCACAATGAATAAATCAACAAATAAACAATGAAAAAACTAAGTATAGCCGTAGTTAGTACTGTTAGTAGTTAGTTACCCATAATTCGTTATTAGTTTTCTAAGATATTGAGACAAGCTAATGTGTGAGTGTATAGCTGTGTGGAAGCTAGGAGGTAAGAAACTATGAATTTATGCCCAATATTAGAACGTTAAATTATAATTATTTATTATAACGTTTTTTTTTTTATTTAGAACGTTTAAGACTCGCGTGATGTGTTTACATTTTAATAATTTCATAACATTCTGTGATATCGAATTATGCATATTATTTGTTATACCTAGCTGATCTCTCGCTCTCTCTCTCTACCTCTCTCTCTCGAGTCAAATCAATAAAATGTAAGTGTTTCAGTCAAATACTATATACAATTATGACGTTTGTTTATTGTGCTACAGAAAGAGCACGACGTAACGGCGTGAAATGTGTTTAATATTTAACAAAAATAACAAAACCATAATATCAAAACGATAACTTATAACATTTCAATAATATATAGGTAATCTTCTTTACCCATTCATCGACTATACCTATGCATGTCTTATCAAATTTTAAGTAATAATTAAATATTGTTTTTACTATATAGAAAATACTTACCAATAAGGCAACAACGGATCAATATTATTAATTAAGATGTATACTACCTATATATATACGCATAATTTAATTCAGATTACGAAAATTGTTTTTTTTAAATTTCCATTTTTATAGATACTCTTGTGTCAATAAAACGTACGAGTTTTAACAAATAGATCATTTAGATATTTGTTATGTGCGTATTTACATGTGAGCACGTCATCATAACATAGTATCCTATATCATAGTATAAACACTTCTGTATTAGCATTGATTATAAATACTATACTATAGATTTATAATCAATGGTACTATAGGCAAATATTATGTTAGGTCGCACAAAATATACAAATTATAGGTACGAATTATTTCAAAACCAATATATCTTAATAATTTATTATGCCAAAACAAATGATATTGTAATAAGAAATAATATTCAGTTGATAAGGAATTCTTTCAACTTTCAAGTTATAAACACACAAATGTGGCGTTATATTATATAAATCTTTATCAACTAAAATTTAAAACTTAATAAATTTAGAGAAATCAAAAACTAAAAAAAAACTTATACGTTTGTTAAAAACCAACTGAATTTGAGCGTTTTGATTA